TTATTATTATTATTATTATTATTATTATTATTATTATTATTATTATTATTATTATTATTATTATTATTATTATTATTATTATTATTATTATTATTATTATTAAACATCATTTTTGATGTCAGTGCATAATTTATGCAAAAATTCACTTAATGTTTCGAATGAAATTGAAGGATGAGTGATTCATCAACTTTGCGATCATCACCAACACGAACTCATCGATCGTCCAGATTAAGCACTATCGGCAGTGAGGTAAGAATTGTTAACTTTAGAAGGAGAAAAGTATTTAGTCATTAATAATAGTTATTAAATATCAGCTATATCTTTATAAGATTCTATCTACTTAATTAACATATATCTACTTAATTAACATATGCGTTATTTGCAGGCTAACGATAAAAAACGTTCCATTCGTGGTCGACGTTCAAGTATGTCTGTAAAAGAAGTTATAGATGGCGTTGAAATTACGGTATGTTTATTTTTGAAAATATTCAAAAGTTTGAATACAACATTTGTTATGGATTGATTATTATTTACTATAATGCCAAGACTAATTCTCAATTTTTTTACTCTTCACAAATTTTTTTTCCGAATTCATAATAGCGATAAACTTCTAAGAGAATAAAGAGAAGTTAAGTTGTTCAAATTGCTCTTAGCACTTTTATGGTGACATGTGGTTGGATAGGAGAAATTCTTTTCTTGTTTCCATTATGATGCTTGGTTCATTTTTGTCTAAAGTTTTTTTATTCTAAAAAGACTTGATTTAATTTTTCAAGAAGTAACATATTAAACATGCCTTAGCATCGGTGAAATATGTATACTGTAAAACATTAATGCTTGAACATTGATACTGATGCTTATTCTTCGACTTTTCATTTTACAGAAATTATGAATATTTTTCAGAAAGATGTGATTATTGGAGATGACATCTCTAAAGTAAATGAAAAAAATTCTTCCCTTCTGTCTATAAAAATGGCTGCTATAGAAGAAGAAGAGAAACATTTGATGAATTACATAAAGAAATTGCAAAATGAAAAAGAAGAGTGGGACAAGATGCTGCAGAACTATGAGAAGAGTGTCGTTGTTGCGAAAAAGTTCGCAATTTCATATAAACTATCATTTTGATCAATTCTTAAGTCTAAACCGTTATATTTGTAGTTAGATTAGTGTGCTGCTTTGGTAATCTTGTTACTTTTCAGAATGCCATAGAAATTATAATTCTGTAAATCAGTACAATGAGATTGTAAAATTGAATAGGGGAATAATATGCAGTGATAATAATTGCTGAATGTTCAGCTGCAATTTGAGACTCGTCTAATCCTAGTGAAAAAATTGTTTTTGGTTCTTTGAACTTGAGGTTATAAATTTTTTTTGGGAGAACTTATAATTTGAATAAGTATATTTGCAGTGAGGTGAATAAGCCGATTGTGCTAAGTCCGAACAAATTAAGATGGATATTAAAGAAATGAAAGATTTTAAGTTGGAAAGAATTCATTTGACTTCCTTTTAAACTTTATTGTCATTTCAGATATCACAAAACCAAAAGCTGAAGGCTGAGATAGTGACTGCGGAATTGAATTACGAAAATAAAGATGAACTTTTAGCACAGAAGGCTGAGTGTGATGCTGTTCTGTTTCAAATTGAAAACTGGGCGGCAAAGCATGGATTCTCTGAGCGTCTTACAGTAATCTGAAGCTGTTAATTGATATCACAATTCCGCTACAAATGTTCTTTCATATATTTTTTACTTTTATAGCATCACTTTTATGAAACTTCTTCATCCTCGTATAATACATGAGAGCTATATAAAGCTTCCTTTTACAAAGGTTTTCTCTTCAGTTGACATTTGCCTAAGCAAACTTCATTTAAAAC